ATCCACATGGAGCACATAAAAGCAATATAGCTTCATTTACAAACATGGCCGCCAGACCATCATATGGACTCGGCAGCATGACGTCAGTACATAGGCTCCTCCCTGATGCGTTTTGTGCACACGCACATTCTCAAAGGGACCCGTCTCCTACTGATGCCATCACAATACACATCTTAAATAGCCCTCGTGAACAAACAGGCGCCGTTTTATTGAGGACCAGACATCGCATCTTTGTAACGGATCATGTAAATCAAAAAACAACCACTTGCAAAATTAATAAACAAAACGTGGTGATAATTAACAGTTCCCATATCTAATTAGTAATAACATTATCGATTAAATGAATTACATGAAGCTATATTTCCACATGGTCCTGCAGATATCAATAATATCACTGGTACCAGTGAGAAAAAAAAGACCAAATATTAAAAAAGACCAAAAAAAGGGGGGATTTAGAAGAAAATATCCCTACAATTCTAATAAGGGGATTATAAAGAATATAAAAAATAATAGATAACAAATAATCTATTCAATTCCAACAAAGGTGCGATCAACAATGAAAACATACAAAAAATATATAAAATATACTATAGAAAACATATAATTATTCTTATTATACAGTATTTATTAAGCGCCAATAGTTCGCTCAGCGCTGTACATTACAGAGGGGGACAGAACATGTGACAGAACAATACCAATACAATGCAAAACATGAGGGGATTGAGGGCCCTGCTCTTTCGAGTTTACAATCTAGGAGATATTTTTTTTCCCAAAAAAAAATCATATAAAACACACGAAAGTGCATCAGTCATATATGTGTATGCTGCATGATACCTAACATGGCATGAATAGACCCATATAAAAGCATCTGAACCCTGTAAATATGACTATGGAACTTATCCATATACAGTCCCCCCTAAGTAGATAGAAGAAACCTAAACATCAACTGTTCTCAATAAAACAGTTCATATCTATGTCAATATTATGTCCTAAGGGGAATAAAGTGCACATTTCATAAATCCACTTTGTCTGGAGAATGAATACTGCCCTACATATGTTGTTTCCCCTCCAATGTGGATGAATGAGATCTATACCAACAAATTTCAAACCAGAAGGATTTTTATGATTATGGTTCCTAAAGTGTTTAGATCAACAGGAAAGTTCTGTAATTCCCGTCTTAATATTTTAAAGATGTTCTCTTTAGCGATCCCTCAACCTCCTAGTGGTTCTACCTATATACTGCTTCTTACAAGGACATTCCAAAAGATATACCACGTATTTGCTGTTACAAGTAATCAGAGAATCAATCTTATAGTTTTTTCCAGTAGAATGGGAAGTGAAAGAATTCAATGTCTTTTTTCGAATACCATCACATCTGCATATCATACATTTATTGCAGGGGAAAAAAAAGCCTTTTAATTCAGAAAAAATGTTGATTTCTTTAGGCAGATCAACTATGTTATAGGCTATTTTGTTAAAGAGGGTGCCCATTGAAAAATGACTTCTGGCTTGTCAGGTAAAAAACCTGCCAAAACCGGGTCATCTTTGAGGACTCTCCAATTCTTCTTGAAAATTTTCTCTGTACTAAATAGAAAAAGTAGTAATGAAGGGACAGACTTTGTTGGGCCTACTTTCCTTCACAGCAGTTAGTAAAGATGACCTATCCATGTCAGCTGCCTCTTTAATAGCCAACTCCAACAACAATTGATTAAATCCTCTTTCAAGGAATCTACCTCTGAGGATCTCCACTTGGGAGTAAAAATCATCAAGATTGTCACAATTCCTTCATATTCTCAGAAATTGGCCCTTGGGGATGTTTTGAAGCCAAAGGGGATAAAAGCTGTCCATAGGAATGTAGCTGTTTCTATCAGTGGACCTTAAGAAATATTTGGTGACATTCTTGGTGCCATCATTAACCACTTCCAGACCGGACACTTTTACCCCCTTCCTGACCAGGGCAATTTTCAGCTTTTAGCGCTATCACACTTTGACAATTGCGCGGTCATGCAACACTGTACCCAAATGAATTTTTTACCATTTTTTTTAGATAGATCAAGCTTTATTTTGGTGGTATTTATTCACCACTGGGATTTGTATTTTTTTTGCTATGTAAATGAAATGTCCAAAAATTTTTAAAAAAAGTGTTTTTTTTTTATAAAATTTTGCAAATAAATAATATTTCATCATAAATCTTAGCCAAAATTTATTCCGTTATCTTTTTAGTAAAAAAAAAAAAAAAAAATCCAAATTAGTTTATAAGCAAAAATTATAATTTTTAAACATTTTTTTTTACATTTTTTTTTATTATTTATATATTTTTTTTTTTTTACATACTGTCACCCTAGCAGTACAGTGTCACCATGGTGACACTGTACTACTTGTCAGGAGTGATAAAGATTTTTTTTTTTTTTTTTTACACTGATTGCTTTTACACCCATATAGGATGTAAAAGCAATCATTTCTCTTTCTCTCTGTGTGCATTCCTGCACTCATTGAGAAATACAGAGTGAGCTGTGATTGGTCACAGCTTGTCACATGGTACAAGGCTGTTGTGAATAGCCTTGTACCATGTGACCTCTGTGATCATTCACAGATTTCACACATAGTAAGCAATGATGTCAGAAGTGACATCTTGCTTACTACTTTGCATGTGATCACTGATTGGCCAATCAGTGATCACATGATCGGGACCTCGTACAGAGGTCCCGTCCGACGATCGGTGTTTCACTGTGTCCGGAGGACACAGCGGGCACCAGATCGCGGTGCTGCGCACTCCCAGGGAGCGCGCACAAGCAGGGTGTGGGGAGGCCGTTTATAGACGGCCACCCGACCCTGCAGTGCCACCGTCCGGCCGTTTATATACAACGGCCGGTCGGGAAGTGGTTAATAAGAGTCCAAAAAGTCCAAAAAATTGATTTCCTTATGGTTGTGCATATACATCAATATTTATTGAGATTATTGTTGTTTTAACGTAACAAATAAATTGTTTAACGCTTCCTCACTGCCTTGCCAGAGGAGGAAGACATCATCAATAGATCACCGGTAGAAACACAATTCCAGCCATTCTCTCGAATAGATGGTGTCTTCTTCTCAGCTGGCCATAAACAAGTTCTCCAAACTTGGAGCAAATTTATCTCCCATGGCAACTCATCTAATCTGGAGGTAGAACATCTTATCAAACCAAAAATAATTATGATTCATAGCAAAGTCTAAAAGTTCTAATATGAACCTCTTTTGGCAACCTGGAAGATGTTTTACCTCCAGATTAGAAGAGTTGCCAGTGTAAATTTGCTATCTCCTCAAAATAAATCAACACACAGCCATTAATGTCTAAACTGCTGGCAACAAAAGTGAATGCATCCCTAAGTGAAAATGTCCAAATTGGGCCCAAAGTGTCAATATTTTGTGTGGCCACCATTATTTTCCAGCACTGCTTAAACCCTCTTGGGCATGGAGTTCACCAGAGCTTCACAGGTTGCCGCTGGAGTCCCCTTCCACTCCTCCATGACGACATCACGCAGCTGGTGGATGTTAGAGACCTTTTGCGCCTTCACCTTCTGTTTGGGTGTGCCCCACAGATGCTTAATAGAGTTTAGGTCTGAAGTCATGAGTGACCAGTCCATCACCTTTGCCCTCAGCTTCTTTAGCAAGGCAGTGGTCGTCTTGGAGTTGTGTTTGGGGTCATTATCATGTCTGATCCCCCCCCACCCCTTCAACCTCTTCAGCAATGCTGGCAGCACTCATACATCTATTTCCCAAAGGCAACCTCTGGCTATGACGCTGAGCACGCGCACTCAGCTTCTTTGGTCGACCATGGCGAGGCCTGTTCTGAGTGGAACCTGTCCTGATGAACCGCTGTATGGTCTTGGCCACCATGCTGCAGCTCAGTTTCAGGGTCTTGGTAATCTTCTTATAGCCTAGGCCATCTTTATATAGAGCAGCAATTCTTTTTTTTCAAATCCTCATAGAGTTCTTTTCCATGAGGTGCCATGTTGAAGTTCCAGTGACCAATATGAGAAAGTGAGAGCGATAACACCAAATTTAACACACCTGCTCCCCATTCAAACCTGAGACCTTGTAACGCTAACAAATCACATAAACTGAGGAGGGAAAATGGCTAATTGGGCCAATTTGGGCATATTTACTTAGGGGTGTACTCACTATTGTTGCCAGCGGTTTAGAAATGAATGGCTGTGTTGAGTTATTTTGAGGAGACCGCAAATTTTCACTGTTATACAAGCTGTACACTCACTACTTTACATTGTAGCAAAGTGTCATTTCTTCAGTGTCATCTCATGAAAAGATGAATAAAATATTTACAAAAATGTGAGGGGTGTACTCCTGTGAGATACTGTATATTTTTGTATAATTCCTATATAGGTTTACACAGGAAGAATTGTGTTCATATGCTTTGGACATAAGCTGCACTTTCTGTATATGTTACAGTACAGTACATGCCCCTCTCATCCATTTCTTGGTTTACTCTACATTGCTTTCTACACAACTGAGGACTCATGGAGTGGAGTAGGATTATAGGGGAGCTTCCCAGGTGGGTGTATCTTCTAAAGCTTTGCCAGTGTCCAGTCACCTGAAGGTATATGTGTATAACCCATGGTGTGTGAATATTATGCCAGTACAGTACTCGCTTTTAAACTGACAAAGAGCATCAGGAATTACTTTATACTTTATGAAGTGATTGTAGTGGTGGGGGGAGGGGGTTTGCACAGTGCACTTTCTGTTCAGTAATGAATAATGGAGTAAAGGATAGGGTTGTGCACACACTGTTTAGGTTTTTGGGGTGCATCCCTCTGTCTGACTTGCAAAGGATTGATTGACCAGAGTAGCCCGGCCTCCCAAAATAACCCTGATGTCTAATGTGCCAGAAGGCCAAGGATTCCCTATCAAGTGTAAAGCAGTTGTTTTTCTGTATCTGTTTCTACTAACTGTATATTTACATATCATTTCTTGTAAATGAATAAGTCTTTTATATCCCCTTTGAAGATCTGCCGGTGATGTTCCCAACGGGACAGCTAATGAAACTGCATCCAGTTACACGGAGCAGAATGCCTTTAATGCGCAAATAGCAAATGGAGACAGCGGTCGCTCTCCTTCTCACGTTGCATCCAGACCCAAAAATATACCAGCACCAAATCCACCCTCTGCACAGGCTGGCACTCGAACTGGTATGTATGCTGCAGAATAACAAAAAAACAAACACCTGTCACGTTGCCTTTTCTCTAACCACCTTCCTTAGCTACCCTGTTAAAGAAGAACTCTGGTCTAACAGAAAAACAGTATTAAAACAAGCACTCATCTTAACGTCATACTGTTCAGTTTGGATGTCTGGCAAAGGGAGATTTTGTTTTGCATCATATTTGTACACACACACTGTGTGTCTATGTAATATATATAGTATATAGAAATGCTGTATATATAATTTTTTTCTTTTGCCATGTTCAGTTCTGTTTAGCTATAATGTGTTAAGAAACCATTATTCCCTCCCTCAGATTCTAATATTTTTAAATCTTTCTTTCATGTGTAATTAATAGAGGCATTGGGGCAGATATTTTTTCTTTACAGAATGCTTTGTAGCTGTCCTTCTATATTACACTGGGACAATAAAAACTTGTTTAGAGCAGGTAGAGCTTAGTAAAGCTCTTTAAGTGTTTGTGGCATGTTGAATCTAGAGACCCTTATGGCTGGAGTTATGCAATAAACTCATCTTGGCTTCAGTGCAAGTGTCTGTCATAAGACTGTGAAGCACAGGCACTGAACTTACAACACAGGCTTTGTGTGCCAGGCCCCATTTAAAGAACAATGGCCTTTTTAATGTTTCTCAAATATAAATGTGAAATGTGTCAATGTAATGTAGAGAGTCTTATCAGTGTGTATTATTGCATTAAGAAGCTTTATATTATTGCATTAAAGAGAGCCCTTTTGACCCTGCTATCGCACTGCTAAAACCAATAGGCTCTCTGCAGGACTAATTGATAACTAGAGATCATCTGATCAAGGCTGAGAGCAGCAAAGTTTTGATGACAAGATGTACTTTCCCTAAAAAAAAAAAAAAAAAAATGTGATTTGATGATGCTGATGCATTTCCTTTTGATCCATGTGAAGTGCAAATCTTAATGACAGATCCACTTTAACCCACTTAACCACACAAAATGTAGTCTCCCTAGCAACATGCAGTCGTCTTGCATTCTTTTTCCACACCAGATAATTTGTGGTAACAGTGATATTATTGAAGAAGGATGACCTCTTGCATTTCAGCAGTGCACCATCTACCAGCGTGCTAGTTGAGCTTGTCCCTGAAAGAGTCTGAAAAAGCACCTCATCTCATTAAAACAGAGTGCTGAGGAGTGGTTTAATATAACCCTTTACCAATTTACTTTTTCCTTTTGTTGGAGATTAATTGATGTGCTGGACTTTTAGGCAGAGTGCGCAGAGCTGGTCATTGATCAAAAAGTCTAGCATGGTATAATGGAGTATATCAGATTGTGGGAATAGGGGCGCTTTGCGAGAATTCCTACCTGAGGATATCGATACTGGAACACACTGTTAATTCAGGTGTCGGATAGTGACTTCCACAACCTTTAAATGAAGCTAGTCATGAAAGAAATATGAAAACTGCAATTTCTGACTTCCTCCTGAAAACCAGGACCAATATTACTGACCCAGAAAGTGCTGCCGATCCAGTGCTCTTATTTCACTTGATGCAAACTTGTTCTGAATCACAAAATCAAAGCCAAATGAGAGCCAAACTAGAAATTTCAGAAAGAGGTCAAGTATGGTAACCAACTATGATCTGGTGTGGAAATCGTTCAGTAAAGGACACAGGCAAATATTTAGACTCTGGATTGTAGGCTTGTACCTTCAGGTGATTGGACATTGACAAGCTTTCAAAGACACACCCACTGGGTGCCTCCACTATAACCCATTACATGAGTCCACAGTTTATTGCTAGTGATCTAAGGTGCTGGACCTCTTCTCCTTCACTGAGAAATTGCTCTTAGCTTAGCTAGTTTCTTTATTATGTTGTCCTTTTATTTTTCAATCAACTCACTGTCTTATAATGCCACAGATAGAAGCAGGGTAACCAGATCATTGCAATGTTGGGAGCTGTACCCCTTCACCCCACGCTATGGGAATGGCCAGTGTTGCTTCAGGTGCTATACAGCACTCGTTTGGTCTTTTATACAGTCCAGCATTGTGGCCAGGTAAGACAGAGTCTCTCTATCTCTGACAATTCATTTAATAAACTGGGGGTTTATTTGAATTGTGTTTACTTCGAAGTACACTCTGATTTGACGCTAAAACTCAAGCACTCTTAGAGTGATTTGTCTTAGGTGGATGTGACATTACCCCACTGGCCACACACTTTACTGCCACTTTCATCTAGAGCCTCTATAAGGTACTCGGATGCTTCTTCCCACCCTTTCACAAGGAGGATTTGTTACAGGGCAGTCAACATCTGTTTTGCTGTGTTGTCTTTCTGGACATGCTTACCCTATGTTTCGCATCCTGCTCTGTAGATTTGACATAGACAAGTCAAAAGGGAGTCATTGCAAAGCCAAAGACAGTCGCTTTGCGAAAGGCCCGGACAACACTCAAACTCATAGTGACGATTCACTCCTTGAGCTGGAGCAGGAACTAGTTCTAACATCGGTGTTTACATCCAATATTGGCACTATTTTAGGTACTCTGCAAGCGGCCTACCCAAGAAAAGCAGAATTCTCTGCATTTATGTTACAGTTCCTCAGATGAATAACCGTTTTAATGCAACCATCTCTATCCAGGGCTCAAAATACTACTCCCTTGTGTTGAGTAGGATGCTAATATGCCTGCCTTAGATGAGGTGGACACAGAGGGGAACTAAAAGGACTTGGAGGCCATATTGGAGGTAGCTACAGAAGACCTTTGTTCCCCCAACTGACATAAAGGTGAAGAGGGAGCTTCAAGCGACATGCTTTTTAGTATGGAAATACTCACTGCTTCCATCCGCAAAAGCCTTGGCATCGTTTAGACTGATTCTCCTCCATCTTGCCAAGCCCTTTTGGGTACAAAGAGAGGTAAAATCTTTAAAGATATACCCGGCTCATGAACAAATAGAATGTGCAATCTATGATGGGGTCCCTCCAGAAAGGATTTTCACTCTTTCCAAAATCTTTGCCAAGCTCTATCCAGTTGGACAAGCATTCACAAAAAGTGGCCTGTTCCTGGTAGTTCTCAGTCTTAAACAATCATCTCACTCTACCTGTTGAAGATATTCTTTGTTTCAAAGATTCTGTAGATCGAAAGTTTGATACACGCTCATAAGCTTACTTTACTTTTGCAGGCCCAGCCCTGCCACCAGTTCCCACTACAATTTTAGCTTGTCAAACTGCAGTGAACTGGACCAGGAAGATAAACAATCAACATGATCATTTCAGGATAATTTTTTTTAACAGTCTTTACAGCAATTGCATTGTGTTCTGGTTTTTTTTTTTTTTTTTTGTGTGGATACCCTAGATCAGTGGTCGGCAAGCCGCGGCTCGCGAGCCACATGCGGCTCTTTACACATTTTAATGCGGCTCTTCTGTGTGCCGGGCGCTCGCTCCCCTCCCCTCCCCTCCCTCCTCTCCCCTCCCCCTCCCCTCCCTCCTCTCCCTCCTCTCGGCCCCTCCCCTCCCTCCTCTCGGGTGGCCGAGGACTCTGCAGCTAGCCCAGCAATGATTGGCCAGTCTCGCTGCCACTCACATCCTGATAGCTAGTGATTGGCTGTCAGGATGTGTGTAGGCGGGGCAGCGTGACGAACGTGAGGGGAGCTAGGCTCCTCTCACAGTCCGCCCTGAAGACCGGAACGGCGCGGGGAGCACGGCGAGAGGAACGCGCGGAGAAAGGTAAGTGAATTGACACAGGAGGGACTTGACTTACTACTTGCTACTTACTTACTACTACTATATGGGGGATGAATTACTATGGGGGATGAATTACTATGGGGGATGAATTACTATATGGGGGATGAATTACTATGGGGGATGCATTACTATATGGGGGATGAATTACTATATGGGGGATGTATTACTATGGGGGATGAATTACTATATGGGGGAGGAATTACTATGGGGGATGAATTACTATGGGGGATGAATTACTATGGGGGATGAATTACTATAGGGATGAATTACTATATGGGGGATGAATTACTATGGGGGGTGAATTACTATATGGGGGGTGAATTACTATATGGGGGATGAATTACTATATGGGGGATGAATTACTATATGGGGGATGAATTACTATATGGGGGATGAATTACTATGGGGGATGCATTACTATATGGGGGATGAATTACTATATGGGGGATGAATTACTATATGGGGGATGAATTACTATATGGGGGATGAATTACTATATGGGGGATGAATTACTATATGGGGGATGAATTACTATATGGGGGAGGAATTACTATATGGGGGATGAATTACTATATGGGGGATGAATTACTATATGGGGGATGAATTACTATATGGGGGATGAATTGCTATATGGGGGATGAATTGCTATATGGGGGATGAATTACTATATGGGGGATGAATTACTATATGGGGGATGAATTACTATATGGGGGATGAATTACTATATGGGGGATGAATTACTATATGGGGGATGAATTACTATATGGAGGATGAATTACTATGGGGGATGAATTAATATGGGGGGTGAATTAATATGGGGGATGAATTAATATGGGGGGTGAATTACTATAGGGGGGATGAATTACTATAGGGGGGATGAATTACTATATGGGGGATGAATTACTATATGAGGGATGAATTACTATAAAAACTTATTGAAACTAAAAACAGTGTACCATCCTATGTATTTTCAGTTTTAAAAATGTGGCTCTCAAAATAAATTTCAATCGTGGTTTTGGCGAGATTTGGCTCAGTTGAAAAAAAAGGTTGCCCACCACTGCCCTAGATGAAGCGCAGTCTTGGCAATGGGGGAAACCTTCCTTCTCTATCACTGGAAAGTGATAACAAAAGAAGTCTGTCTTTTAAGCCGTATAGAAGTGTTCTTGTCACTTAAGGAATAGGAAATATGGTCACCTGTGGAAACCAAGCACCCCAACATCTTGGATCTTAGAAAAATAAGATGACTCTGCAACGCTGAACTTCTTCTCCCGCAGGGACAACCA